AGTTCTTTGAGTCAATCTATTTTCTTGAAGATTCTTTTATTTATTTTTACACACATTCATTCCTTTTCTTTCATTAAATTCCAACTGATATAGACTGATCTGGCCCACAAAGAGTGTAGGTTTGCGGGAATTGGGATTGTAGATTAGACTGCGCATGTTTCACAGAATATGATATATCTTGAAATATCACTTTTTTTCGACTGCTACTACACATGCATACCTCTGAGGCAGTCTTAAACCAATCCTCACAATTTAGTAGACTCTGGGAACGAAAAAATCTGCCTGTCGGAAGGAATTGTACTTATGACAGTGTATTCTTTAGTCCTTCTTTTGTGAAGCATGATAGTAGGGAGAATGAATCTATACACAACAATTGAAGAGAAAACGGGTATATTGCTGACGTAGCTCCACTGGATTGTCGCGGCTGAAATTTAAATTTGAATATTGAACTGGAATTCGAGAAGTTTTTGTAGAGCTTGCACTGAAGATTTTGATCTTCCGTGCCAAAAATTGTGTTCATTTTTTTCAACCGTAACTAATGACTTTATCTTCCCTTTTCTTTTTTTATCAATTTGATGAGTACAAGTTTACTGCTGAACTTATCCTATGGATACAGAAGCATCTGCGCGCGGTAAGCTCAGGTCTCCCGATCGACAGTCCAGATGCTGTGAATCCGTCACGATGGCGTGGTAAAAATCGTCTTGGGAGCCTCATGGATGCTGTGCGAGAGAAGCTGTGGGCCATGGACGAATATAGGTCTGTTCTTCGATAGGTACTTCTCTCCAAAATTTAATTATTATTGCGGTGTTCAGCATTTTTTTAACCTTCGTGGTATTTCTTGAGCCTTTCGGCTCAGCATTTATCTTATTCGCGTGTGTCAGTCAAATATCAACACCAGTTTTTTCTCTGAAAATTTGCTTGTCACTTTGAAGGTTTCTATCTCTTTCTTGGAATAAATGTTAAATTTCCGGCGGGGTGTTCTGAAATTTTCCTAGAGTTGTAAAGTTGTGCTCATGTGAATGAAGTCGTAAGTAATTAAATAAGGCGTCTTTCAGATCACTACGCGACGAAGTCGAGAATCAAATGAATTTATTCTCTGGATACGCAGACTTGTATTTTTCATCAAGGATAACAAGGTAATAATCTCTACCTGTGCTTTTTCTAGTCAAAAATATTAGGCAAGTCCAAGAAAATAATGACACGATTATCACCAATACTGTGCCACTGATTGTAGGCCTGGCCGGTATTATTGATTTCATCTCCTTCAAGAGGCCCCTCCATTCACCCTTTCCTAGGTCACAAGTCAAAGTCACTTTTCTAAAAGGTATGTAAATATTTTTTATTTGCGCCATACTAGAATGCGGTTTGGTGGTGGTGGGGAGAGTTCACGACTTA